CGAACATTCACAGCAAAAACATTGTGAAAGTTACCTTCACAACATTTTGCTGTGAAGTTTCAAGTGTAAAAAAATGGTTAATTGAAAACAGATTGGTTTCACATGATTTAAAGTTTAATTAGCAAATAACAACCATTTGTATATGTATTTATGTGTTGATGGATTATGTAATCCACAAACAGGTAATTTACTCAAGATCAACGACATTGTTATTACAGCATTGAAACTAAACTTAGGGGTCGTTTACCCAATTGCTTACCCGATAAGCGATTATCGGTAGAAGTCAACACTATGATTTATTTTGATGCGCAAGATTTTAGTACATCAAAACATATCGAATGCAACAATTTACTTGGCAGACGCTTACTTGGGTAAGAGTCGTCATCCTCACTTACTGGGTAAGACTCTTCATCGTTCTCATCGCTCTTACCCGGTAAGATTTTTGGCCYTTCTCATGCCGATAAGGAAATTTATACGGTAAGCACTTACCAAGTAAGTGTTTARTATACGGTTCCTAACTTATTAGTTAGTTTACCAAATATAACCATAATGATCATACACGTGAACAACGTTATGATTGAGTATTTCTTTACGAAGCAAGTTATAATAATCCATTTTGATGAACGATTTTCGAAGGTTTCACATTTMTGTCTTATTTAAAAGTTTTAATATGTTATAACTTGGATAATGTATTATTTTTGTTTTTGATAAATGATATATCTGCATTGAAACAAATTAAACACGTGCTTCAAGTGCCATATTTGTATGAGAGATTAGGCTTCCTATTGAAACTTAGGGACCATTTACCTAGACACTTACCCGGTAAGTATTTATCGGTAAAATTCAACAATATCGCTTACTTACTGGGCAAAATTTTATTCATTAAAACGCATCGTATGTAACAATTTATCCCGGTAAGTGCTAACCATGGTAAGAGTCCTCGTCTTCACTTACTGGATAAGACTTGAGATTCTTGTCTTCGTTCTTATCGGGTAAGATTCTTATTCCTTGCCATATTCATCCGATAAAATAAAGTGACTTGGTAAGTACTTACCCGAGTAAGCGTTTGATAAATGACACCTTAATTGCTAAGTTGTGGATTTAGAAAGTGATGATGGGGAGCTGAAATGGGAAGGACATCAAATCTCATAGTTCTCATTTGAATATGTAAACACATCCATAGTTATATAAGAAAAGTATGCTTTGGCAATGCCTTTTTTTAGCAACGATATGTTTCAACCACAAGCTATAACGAGGACATGTCGTCATTATAAACTATTTATAACGTGGACTTTTAGTGACGATAAAAGTCGTTGCCAAAACCAGGGGCGGATGTAGTTTGTAAAAGGTGGGGGGATGGGCCCCATAAAAAATATCTTTTATCGAAGGTTAAAAAAACTACTATAATTCCCTCTAGTGATTTTTCGTCTGTCCTCCACCAACCGAAGAAAGTACATCGAAAAAATCAATCAAAAAGCAAAAGAAAAATCTCTTAAATCAACCAAAAAAACAGGAAAAGTCTCTCGAAATCAACAAAAAAACCGATAAGTCCCTCGAAATCTACAAAAAGTTCCTCAAAAAGGTGGAATTAAGCTAAAAACACATCGGACGACTTTGCGGGCCTTTAATCTATCCACTAGGTAAAAATTCTGGATCCGCCACACAGGCTAAAACCCTTTTGTTTTCCGTGATTTCAGTATTAAGTTTTCGATATGGCTAACATGGTTTGTTGTTTCTAATGTTAGTAACCAAAGGTCCCGATGAAGTTGAACGAAAAATTGGAACCGATTTCAATATGCTAACATTGATACCTAAATATCAGGGTCACTTTATCATGGCTTTCTCAACTGAAATCATTTTAAATGATATAAATCCACAACTATTCCATGATCATGTACAATTTTTGCAATAGAAATAACGATATACATATACACAAAGTCATATCACACAAGCGTAAACCATTAACGATACTAGTACAAGACACAAATATCATGACTGAATCCATGAGCAACCGAATTAGGGCTTCAAGTCGATGCCTTTGGCTTCTTCATAAGCGCATCGAGGCAATCGGTTAAAGCCGATGTTGAGGTGATAGAAGCTYTGAGGATTAAAAGTGCCTGCATAATCAAGAAAAGGGTGTCCAAAATATAGTTATTATTCCATATATACTTCATCTCTTGTCTATAATCACTGCAACAAAATTGAGTTTATATTAAGACGCCACTATTTTATAGCACATAACTTTGTAGGATCAAACATCAAAGTATCATATATAAAGGTGTTGCAATATGTTTATAGGACGCTTTTGGATATTTTTAGAAATTTTCTTAGATACCTTTAATAAACGTCATACTAGCTATTTTGTAGGATACCATTTGAAAAAGTGTCTTATAAAAACAAGTGTACCATAAAAAAGTGTTTATATGACATTTTTCAAATGTATCCTATAAAATAATTAATACAACGCTTTATTTTAAGATTTGTCCTAAAAAGCTTGTTAAAACATCGAAAAATGTCATATAAACTTATTGCACCACCTTTAGATAACCCACTTTAACGTTTAGTCCTAAAAACTTATGTCTTATAAAACAATCTACTGAGACTGTCTCTTGGCGTCTTAAACCCCTAAGCACATATCTAAACGATAACTTACCTCTTGTTCACCTACGCTCGCTTCGATAACCTCGATATCACCAACAGAAATGCCAAGTGTGTTGAACTTCGAAATCGTTGATATAGACGGTGACACTGTTATTTCTAGATCATCAGAAATTATAAATGTCGTTTGTTCCTTAAGGAAATGACCCTTGCTTGTATTTACATCGTAAATGGGAAGAAAGTCGGTCACACGCAGATAATTAGCTGCGAGTTTCGGGCAAAGTAACATGGTCGTGACGTCCTCAGATTTCAAGTATTTCCGATCTCCGAAACTTGAAATACTATTGTACAAATTATCTATACCCATCGGAGAAGAATTATCCTTTGTTAAACGTTTTACGGCACCCAATGGGATCGTTAGGAAGCTGAAGAGAAGTTCCACAAAGAAATTCTCAACTTGTGCACATAATACCTTCTTCTTTGATTTCTGTACTAGTAGTTTTATAGTCTGTGACTGGCCTGAGTTCTTCGAAATCGAAGTTGAATTGCTCAAGGTAGAGTTTGCGATGGACGATGAGTATGAACAACAACACAAGCATGAGCTCGAGCACGAGCATGATTTACTTCTCGGAAGAACCAGATTTGTCAAAGGACTTTTTGTCAATAACGACCACTTGAGTAGATTGGAAAACTGAAATAGTAATTTGAAGAAGATAATCAAGACATATTTCTTTAAAATAATTCTAGAAACGGATATACACTACAACAAAATTGACTTTATAGGACGTMTAGAATGTCTAAACGTCTTAATAGAATACTTTATAGAACTTAAGTTAGACCAAACTATAAATCATTTTTATTTAAAAGCATTAATATAGGTTTATAGGACGTTTTTAGATGTTTTAACAAGTTTTTATGACACTTAAATAAAGTTTCTTATTAGATACTCCCTTTGTCCCAAAATAAATGTTCATAATGAAAATGTCATATACTTTTAGGATTGTTTAATTATTACACTTTTTAATTAATAAAATGACAATTTTACTTTTAATTATAGAGAAATTTTTTTTACTCACCTTATAATTAAGGGTAACATGAGAAAGTAGGCATTCACYTTTGAAAGTAGAAACTTATTTTRAGACAAACTAAAATAGTAATGTRAACAYTTATTTGTTATTTTGAGAGTAAAGTATTTTATAAGATGCTTTGTCATGTAAACCAATTGTTTTGTACTAAACTCTTTTTTAAAGTGTCGTATAAAATAGTTAATACGACACTTTATTTTAAAAAAAAAAACATTCAAAAAACTTGTTAAAATGCTTATAAGTGTCATGTAAACCTGTTGTAATACTTTTAGATGAGACGTATTTTTGGTTTGTTCTATAAACTTAAGTCCTATAAAGTATATTTTATTAAGATATTTGGACATTTTAAGATAAAACCAATCCTGTTGTAGCAAAGAATCAAAAACTTACCTCTTCCAAGCCAAAGCAAATGGTTCTCTCATCTAGCAAATCAATGTATTCAACACCAAGGGAATTAAGGAGTTCGATGCTTGAATCCAGCAACACGGGTACTACGTTGAGATCATCGGTGATGATGAACGATGTCTTCTTTTTGACAAATACTGCATCGTCTTGACTACCAACAACAGTAGTATTACTGACGGGTTTCGTGTCGTCTAGATTTATTTTCAGCTTCCGGAGAACAGAAACCGATGAATTGTTTGGAATAACAAGTGCATCCTTAGAATGTTTGTTAGAGAAATGCTGATCATTTAGATTCACAACACTTTCATACAAGGAAGTCAAGCTTCCAACTTTTGTACTCTGCGAGTCCGCTAACGTGTGTGAGAGTCTTGCGATTGTTCCGAGCGGCAAAGTGAAGAAACTAAAGAGAATTTCAACAAAGTCTTCTTCCGCTTCTGCGAACATCACTTTTTTCTTCTTTTTGTCGACAAATACTTTGAGGTGAACCGAGTTTTCATTGCTTCCCATCGTCGATCTGCTCAAGTTGTCACAATATCACTCTAGATTCTTATCAAGTGTTTAAAATAGGTTCAACAAGTTTTTTAGGACATTTTTAATAGAAGGCATAACATTGGCTATGTTATAAGACACTTTATGTCGTATAAAACCATCTTTTTATAAGATAATTGTTTTTAWAAGACACTTTTTCAAATAGTCTTCTATAAAAATAACTAATACGACATTTTTTATGATAAAAATGTTATAAAAAACTTGTTACGATGTGTTTTCGTGAGACCCGCGGGACTATTTTTTAACACTTGAAACTTCATAGCAAAACGCTGTAATGGTAACTTTCATGGTGTTTTTGTTGTGAAGGTTCGGTTTTCTTTTACCTTCACAACATTTTGCTGTGAAGTTTCAAGTGTAAAAAAGTGGACAGGGGTCTCACGAAGACAAGTTGGTTTTACATGAACCCAACCCTATAGATATATATATATATATATATATATAGGGGTAAGATCAAATGTTAACCAAAGTTTTTGTGTTAACTTTGTTAACCGATCTTGGCCATTCAATCTTTCAATAAACGGTTGTAATTAATCATGATAAAAACTTATTTTTTTAATTTAAAATTGCATAAAGATAAGTGAACAATGTTGAAAAAGGTATTTAGGTAAAAAAAAATGTAACTCCCATATCATTAATTAATTGAGAGTTACAAAATCAAAAATTCTATGATTTTTTTGTTAATGTAAGAACCATATGAACACAACTATATATATATATATATATATATATATATATGAATATATGAATCATTGTGTCAAATACGAACAAAAATTTGACATATATATGAACTTGGACTGCATAGCATTTATGAACACAATATGGACATAATATGAATAACTGCTATACGAAAGGAAATAAATAAATAAAACAGGTATGAACACGATATGAACAGCTTGTGAACAATAGTTCCTTCATTATAAACGCATTCAAGAGTGATACTTTGTCAATTAGAGTTTTATACATGCATTGCATCCACACCGTTTAAGGTTCACCTCTTGTTTATATATGTTTCTGATCTTATATGGTTGTTCACCCCTTGTTCATATCGTGTTCACCTCTTGTTCATATCGTATAAAATATATGAACACATAACCCCAACGCTATGAACACCGGGTGCAAACACTTACACAAATATAAAGATTTAGTATCAAGCTTAAAAATAACATTTGTGTTCATATGATAGAAGTAACATGAACACAATGGTTCATGATTCATAAAAGTTGGTAATATGGCAATATGAAAATGGGTCTTGCATGTATTTCCATTTGAACATGTGAATTAGGTACGTATTTTAATAATTAAAGAAAAAAGCTATCAATACAAGA